TCCTCAAGGGTGGAACGGGTCCTCTTGACACGAACCTATTCGTTCGTTTCTGTCGTGGAGGAGAGGTTGGTTGCTCGCCATTGTTGTTCTCGGCGCTGCCTGGATTTCAGATCCTCATTGTAGCGGATCCCGTCCATCGACTCCGAAGCCTTGGCCAATTGTCGCGCAAGGCATTGACGCCGTCTTTGGCGTGCCCTCTTCGACAAAGTTGGAGCGCCTTCAGCAGTTATCTTCATGGTGGAGGGGAGATCCGGATCTGCAGCTTCGACCAAGTTGGACGTCGTAGGGGCGTCGCGGGGTGTGAGTGCAGCGACGACGAGGGGATCTCGGATCTTCGACCCTGAGGTTCCGCGAGCCTTCCTGGAAGAGGAGGCCTTCCTGCGCATGCTTGGAGAGGCGGATCTGGAGGAGGAGGAAGAGAGGTACTCTTCAAACTTTTACTGGCCGAATTCATACTCGACCTCTTCATTCACCCGGATCTTGAATGCCGGTTGCGTCACGACAGCCTCGGCAGCGAGGCTGTTGGCTCCCACTGTGGTCGCCAGTTTGTTTTCGCTGAAAGTTATCTTCATGGTTGAATTCATTATAATTCTGATTGTTTATAAAGAATTCAAATATTCTATAGAAGAAAGAAATAAAAGTTACAACTCTCTCGAAAATAATGCAAGATCCGTCGTCGTTTCTTGCTTGAATGGGTTTTTGGCCGGTGACGGGGACGTCGATATCCGTGGACTACCTAACAATCAGATCAGATCCGAAACTTCGTCGATTCGCGAAGGAATCTAGAAGTAGAAGTGCTTATCTCGATAACGGCGAGATAATTGCTCTTCTTAAGATTACCGTAACGGGATAATCCTAGGGAATGGATACGGGTGATGCAGATCTGAAGAAGCTTTCTCTCTTGTGTTGAAGAACTCGATCAATTTTTAATCCGGCAGGGCTTCGTCAATTCTCCAAAATTCTAGATCTCAAAAAAAATGAGGCTCCCGGGGCTGTATTTATAGGCTCCAAGGAAGTCTGGGCGGTTAAAACCGCATAACGGCTGATTTTTGGGCCTGAAGACACCCCAGGGTGTCTTAGCGAGGCCGAGACACCCTTGGGTGTCTCGGCTTGGGCCGAGACACCTTGGGGTGTCTCGCTTGTGCCGAGACACCTCGGGGTGTCTCAACTCAGGCTGAGACGCTTTTTCCGCACACTCGTCCGTTTCCGCCGTAATTTCTTCGTCCGAACTCGGATTTGAGTAATTCAAAGTGCGTTGGAAAGCCGACGAGGAGATTTATAAGTTCCGATGATTAGATCATTATGGATTAAACCAGGATACAAACGGCATTTTGCCTTTTGTAAGCGACGCGGGGCTCCCGATCAGTTCGTATCCTCATTATTCTGAAACTTCGTTACTTCACGTAATTCGTCGACCTACTTTAAGCGTTCGTCGACATCAATCAAGATTCTGTGAATTGGATAGTGACGTTCATCGTCTTTTCTTAGCGTTAAGCTGTTCGTGGAGACCTATAGGCAATTTTCGATGCCTACACTTGGGAGAGGAGGTACGTAAGCAACCACATTGGTGTAGCTGAATTTGGTGAGATGATGCAGTGGTGCTCATGTTTGGTGTCGGCTCAGTTTTGCGAAAACTTCGCCGATGTGGAGAATTGAAGAAACGGTAAAGAAGAACAAGAAATTTAAAGTGCACAAGATTGACTATGGGTCGGTCGACCGACGGCATAAGCCCGGTCGGCCAACAGACTGTTTGATTACAGGGTCTGAAACCCTGTTCTGGTCGGTCGACCGAATGAGTTCGACCGGTCGAGCAAAAATCTAGTCAGTCAACCGAACGGGTATGGCCGGTCGATCGAAAACGTGCACGTTACAGGGCTGAAATTTGTCTCTCTGGCCGGTCAACTGCACGCTTGCACCCGGTCGACCGCGATGATGGGTCCAGTTTGATTTTTTAGTTGGTTTTGGTTTGTGTTTTGATATAAATTTAAACACGATTTTAGTGTTTCTTAATCAGAGAAAGGAGACACTTTTGAGCATTTTGAGAGGGAGATGTTGTGAGGGAGTTGAGAGTTTTGGTTAGGGTTATATTTGAGTGATTTTCTGAGTTGTAACCCGTTGTATTTCTCCTCCATATAGTAAAATCTCCTCATCCTCTCCCTGTGGACGTAGGCAATTGCCGAACCACGTAAATCTCTGTGTTTGGTTTGATTTGTGTCGTATTTAGTGGATTGCACTCGTGTTTGGTTTAGTTTTCTTCTCTCATTGCTCGCGGACTCGTTTGGTTATCGAGCACGCTTCCGCACGACGCGCAACAAAGATTACATATTAATCTATCTTTTGTAAGTTGACGACCTTGGACTACTAACTACAGGATCACAACATGTTTTAGATAGAAAATGGATCCCCATATATGATACCCATTAATCTCATATACTATATATATATATATATTATATATATATATATATATATATAATATATATATATATATATATATATATATATATATATATATATATATATATATAATGATATACTATATATAATATATATATATGAGATTAATGGTATCCTTGTTCATAGGAGGGGATTTCCTCCTTGCAGGCCGCCTCTAAATCACATGATTTGAGCGACATTGTGGGATGATCCGCCCCTTGAACTTGCATCTACATATTCCAAAACCCCAACACAACGTTTGGGCAGTGAATCCGCTCGTTCGTTTGACCTCCATCGAGCCATGTGAAAAGTTCTATTCATTTCAAACCGGTTAAAATGATACGAGTGGATGAAGGTTCAAACGACGACGGAGTTCACCCCAAAACTTGGATGTGTTGGGGCTTTTGAATATGTAGATCAAGTTCAAACGGAGCGGATTCATTTCCACAATGTCGCTCAATCATGTGATTTAGAGCGCTTAATGACGGAAAATCCCCTCCTATGACAATTGATACCCATTAATCTCTGCCTCTCATCTTCGTCATTCTCTCTCATCTCTCTCTCTCTCTCCTCTCTCTCCTCTATATATATATATCATTATAATATAATATATTAATATATATATATATATATATATATATTATATATTATATATATACTTTAACTACATATTTTACGTCACCTTTAATAAATCAAGAGATTTGTATATATGTGAAAGTATGAAATTCTAAGAGGGAAGCCTGCAGATCTACCTTCACAAGAGTCTGATTCCCCTAACCTTAACTAATTTAGCATCTCTTGTACTGTGCCTTTGTGATTTTTTACTTGTTCCTATTTATTTTCTTGACTAGACGGCTAGCTAGCTAGAGAGTAATTAAGTGGGATGGTTAATTTCAAATAATTAATTAATTATATTTGATTTGTCTCTAATTACTAGTAAAAAAAGAAGGTAGGCAATCTTGTTGATGGGAGAGTGTGCAATTTGGAGTCTCTATATATAAGGATTATATATAAGGATTACTACCTGTAAGTGTGTGATGAGATCACAACATGTCCTACGTACTTACACCGTTACATATTATCACTCGTGATTATTAGGCAAAAAAAAAAAAAAAAAAACAGGAATATAAACTGATAGAAGCCTTTAGGGTTTTAAGAGAAATTAACATGCACTGTCCACTTTTGTAGTGATAATCAATATATAAAACCCATACACTTCTTTTTAGGTGAAAAAAAAATTTACAACCGATACATATAATTAAGCAGAAGAAACTAGAGTATAGATAGATTTATAGATAGTACGTTGATGCGTAAGAATCTTAAAATATTCTAGATACTCAGAGCTATGATCATCTTAATTTCAATTAAGCAAACACATAACAGGTGACACGCATGAACAAATATTCACTCTAATTATCTTTTTATTTTTTTCGGAAATATTCGGTATACAAAGTGAACAATAAATTGACAATTGATATTTCACTGCATATTGTTGTCAAATTGATGAACTATTCTCCTATAATGTATTGATTAATTTTTGTGCAAGTATCACCCGGCCCCATGTGATTTCTTGGCAGAGAGCAGGTGAGACAACGTAGAAATTTATCCAATACCCTACTGCAAAGTAACCAAGAAGACAGAATACTTTGGGAGATGAGATGTAGAGAAATACTATTATTTATTACAAGAGAGAGGGAGAAAGAAATACTTAGAACTATAATATTTAAAAAGGAAATTGTACTTGTATATTCTTTTCCTAGTTCCAACTGCGTCCAAAAATTTACTTTCTAAGGTACATGCTCTAAGGAATTGAGAACATATGTCGTGCATGTGATCGAGATACTATATGGCGTTTGATATATTTATAAATATTAACAACTTGTAGTGTCAGATAATAAGCTAGCTAATCAATATATATCTCGTTCTCTTCCATCAGAAAATGTTTTATTAAGAATATAAGCCTCTCGGGAGGAGAAAGAGAGTCAACTATTTATGGAGATTAGGGAAGAATCTTAGGTGAGAGACATGCTACAGGGCATTCTCTCACCTTGTGTGTGATCAATATTTCTCGATTTGCGAGTTCATGTGCTGTATGAGAAGCCTCGCATTAAAACCGCGGCCATAGTTTTTTCCTTTCGTAAAGAAAATAAAAGAAAAAGAAAAAAGAAAAAAAAATCTCTCTCACTAATTAACTTTTCTCATGTGGTGATTAATTAGGGCAATTTAAACTTCTCTTATAATGATTTCTTTCAGGGCTTTTGCCTATAAATATTGGACGTCAAATCAACATCTAAATTGAAATTTTGTTGTTTGTCTTAAAGAAATCTTGTGTTCTAGAAATTTTAAATTATTTATTCCAAATCAATAGAAATAATTAATTGTGATTCAGCGATAGAATTCTTATGAATTAGTTGTAACCAAACCTCAACTTTCCATTCTTTTTCTGAAAATACGAATAAACATGAATTATACGTTCCACAGATTCTAAACATGCTTGGGGGAACTTAAAACTAATTAAACAGTTTTCATATATACTTGAAAAATATATTAGACATATAACTTACTTTGAGGAAATGCTTAGATTATAGAGCGATGCAGCGCAAGAAGAGATCTGGGTCTCGTGCAAACAAGAAATGCATAGATTCTCACTCTTTTGTTCTCTTTTGGTACGTGTATGCATGGAGTTGACATTTGGGGTTTCTTTATTGCAATTATTGGGAAATTTTGAGAGAATCTCAAATTGGGGGACAAATTTCTGCCCTAGTTGTTGTACGTACTTGTTGAGGGATAACGATCCATTACCAAACACCAAAAGCTCCAAGTTCATTTTATTAATCTAGTGTTTGTTGGGGGCCACAGCATTATAGTAAGTTAACCTAATTAGAATTGCCGATGCATATTTTTGTTAGCTTGCCCCCCCCCCTCCCCCCGCCCCCCCCCCAACCCCCCCCACCCCCCGCCGCCTACGTAGGTCGTTGCTAGTGAGAAAGCTTGGAGGGATTGGGAAAAGCTGCTGAACAGATCCACCTCTCGCGCTTAATTATACCACCCTCTCCCATTGCAATGCTGGTCCCATTGATATTGAGTTGCGAAGGATAATAATACCACCTCACTACCAAGCACAAATTTTGTGCCCTCGGTACCAACATATCCCATATTCCCCTATATATATATGATATATATATATATATATATATATATATATATATATATATATATAGTATATATACTATATATAGAGAGGAGAGAGAGAAGATCGAGATGAGATGAAGGAGGAGAGAGGAGAGATGAGAGAGCATGGCGTATGCCTTGGTACTAAGGGGGTGTTTGGTTGCAACATTTTTTAGAAATGTTTTCTCAAAAGTACTGACGTATGGTATTTCTGTAATTAAACATTTTATATAGATATCCGTAAATTGTGTTTGGTTCAACAAAATTTACAGAAATATTTTCTGTAAAGTACAGAAAAATACCAAATTTTATAGGAATCAATTTCCTTCTAAAATGGACGGAAATCAGCTGGAAATCAGCTAGAAATCTGACGCATTCATTATTTAAATAATAAAACTCATTGACACTTTTCTATAAAGTTATCACTTTTCTATAAAGTTGTGGGCGTTTGGTTACATTTCTATAAATTATAGGAAATGTTGTTATTTTCCCAAAAGTTATGAGTCATTTTCTTGTTTTGAACCAAACAATCAAAATACAAAAAACAAGAAAATTTGTACTTTTTAACTTCTCAAAACTTTTCCAATAATTTTTTTAAGAAATACAAGGAAATCATATTTTGGATGGAAAACATTTCCTATAATTTATAGAAATGTAACCAAACACCCCCTAAGCATACCCATTTTTCTCATATATATATATATATACCTTTAAAATCAAAAAAAAAATATGTCACATCTCTAACACTAAGTGAACATGCCAAAAACCCTCAAATCCACATTTTTAAGCTCTTATCCTTCAAATCTAATGCCACCTAAGCATTATTTTTCTTTTCCCCAAATCTAATGCTCCTACTTCCTGGGGTCTCTCTCTTGCCCTCCCCCCTTCTTCTCTGCCTACACAAATCCAAAAAAAAAAAAAACCTTTCTTCTTTCACTATCTTCGTAATTTTCTAAAACTAAGGTTTGTGTTTTGTTTTTCTCTATATAGTGGCCGGAGATGACGCGTCATCATTGAATTCTCTGCCATGTTATTCGCCTCCACCGCCACATTATTCACCTTTGTTGCCACCGAGTTACCATTTCTGCTACCCCATTGCCGCACTTTTCACCACCATTACCGTCAAATTCACTGCACCACCCAGGAAAATTTATCATTACTCATCTACTTCGTCAATGCTAATCTCCTTGCCGCTGCCTCCTCCTAATTCCTCAATGCCACCATCACCTTGCATGGAACCTCCACCACTGCTACCGTATATGAATATGTTAAAAATAATTTTAAATGGTTCTCAAAACACTCTTAATATGTAAATATTATGGGATACTTATAAATATTATGCTTGTAAAGTTTTTCATTTATGGCCTAACATTCTATTGCATTATGACAACTAAACTTTTTATTTAACGAGTAATTTATTACATTCATAACTAACCTCTAATGTTAACAACTAATCCATAAGGTTAACATTCAATACATAAGGTTAACATCCAATATAACATGTTGACAACTAACTCTACAAAAGGTTAACATCCAATACATAAGGTTAGCTACTAACACAAAAGCTTGACAATTGACTCTAAACCTTCATAACTATATAGGCTAGTTGCATGTTGCTTGGTTGTGACATTCCATATGGCATTGGGAGCACTTAAAAGGCCAGGTAAACAGTGACATGTTGTTCCTTCATCTAGTATATGATCTTCCAAGTCTTTTTCTAGCAAGGAGAGGCTTCAACCGATGGTCTTCTGGTGGCATAACACGCTTCTAGTAATCTAGAATATGAAATATGATCAGTTTGTAGCTTCTTCTAAATGCTTCAACAGTCATAAACCAATCACAATAATGATATATCTCCTCCCATATAAGTTATTGCAGCAAAACATGCTTGTAAGTAATGCACGTGATATCCCAAGATTTGCAAAAATATGTTCCTTTTTTTAAATCTACATGACACGTTTTATTAGATTCAACCTCCACAATATCTTCTCTTGAATGTTTAACTTGTAAGCAATACTATCTTAGCTTCTGAACATAAATATCCAGTTCATTTCGCTGCCAAAATCCGTCTATCTCGTATATGCTCCATCATTTGTTAACCTATCGTCTACACCAAAGGTAATATTTGTAATATTTGTGCCTTTAGTATTTAATTGTTGAAAGACTCAGTAGTATTTGAAGTAACATGGCCATATCTGTAAATGACATGAAAATTTTTTAATTCGTTTGATGACTAATATGTAACCTAAATAACTAATGTGTAACTTAACAAATTAATTATATCATTAACAACTAAACTGTGATATTAACAACTAAGCTATATACTTAACAACTAATGTGTATCAATATTAACTAAATGATATATATTTATAAATCATGCATAGTTTCAAGAGAACAACTATCAATTATAGTATAGAAAGATGTCGAATCCACGAGGAAGATGTACATTTAGAAATTCCTAAAATTGGTCCTAAAAGTGTGTGGAAAAAAGGCGTGAAATAAAATGTATAGAGATGTAGAAAGAGTGATTTGTCACAAAGATAAAAGTAAAAATAAGAGGGAAAAGAATAAACAAATAAAAACACAAAAGAAAGCTAGAAGAAAATAAAAAGAGAAATGAAAATAAGAAAAGAAAAAGAGTGAGCAAGAAGAGCCAACAAAGAAAAATTGACAAAAAGGAAAAATCAAGGAAAGGGAAAATCAAGAGGTGGAGGAAACATCAAACCAAAAGAAATTGAGGTAAAAACAAGTGGAGAAACTTAGGGATCTAGAATTAAATCCACTAGTTAACCTCAATTAAAATTTATGAACTACTCTCTTTTTATCATAGTAATTCTAGAATTTATAAGAATAACATATCAAATCAATCAGAATAAGCATAGATTATCGAATTCTTCTTCTATTAATTATTTTTCTAGTTAATTACCCTAAGCATGATCATTTTAAGCACAAGAGAGAAATTCACTAACCATAAAAGAAATTGAACTAATTTCATATAATCCTAGAGATCCTTAAAAAAATTTACTTATACATATTAAGAAAAAAAGAAAATAAAGCATAAAAGAAAGACAAGGCAATTACACTACAAAGCAAGAAAAAAAAGGAAAATAAAGGCAATAAAAAGAGCAAGAAAATGTAAATCTACTCTACAAATTATAAAATAATCTACCCTACAAGCATGAAATATATCTAATCTTCCAAACATAAAATAAAATAAGAAAATAAAATCCTAAAATATACAATTTATAAAATAAGAAAATAAAAAGAGGAGAAAATAAAATCTTACATTACAAGGAGTTGGCCCCTTGTATGTAAATCTTCTTCTTCACTTCATCAATAAAGAAGAAGGAGAATGCAAATTTAAAAGACGAAATATAATTTTTTCTTATGAAAGTTTGTAAATTAGAAAACCTAATTAAAATTCATCCTCTCAAAAAAGGAGTTCATAAAAATTTTTACACTCAAACACCTCACATTCTGCCCCTATTTATAGCCTGGTATAGTCAACAAGAGTCATTGGATTAGCATTAAGCTCCAAAAAATAAATCTCAGCTATTAACTCATTCTGTTACTAACTAATTGGTTTACTAACGATTAGCCAATTGATTGGTCAATACTTTGATTCCTAGTAGAATTTAATTATTTGTTGACTTATTGACCTGACTTTTAATGATCACTTGGGCTTTTGTGGGCTTCCTCTTAGCTTGATCTTGGGCTTCAATAAATGATATAAAATTAGAGAAATTTAGTTCTTTTAGGCTCTTTTCATTAATTTTTCATTATCTGCAAGCTAAGATCATTATTAGTCAATATATTTATTCAAAATAAAATAGACAACGAGGGTATAAAAGTGTAATACAATGTTATGATCACTAACTATAACCTTAACAACTAACATATAAACTTAACAACTACGCTGTAAACTTAACAAGTAAACTGTAATATTAATAACTAACATGTAAATTTAACAACTACGTTGTAAATTTAAAAATTAAATTGTAACCTTAACGACCAAGTTGTAAACTTAACTACTAACGTGTATCCTTATCAACTAAACTATAGCCTTAACAACTAACCAAAAAACTCAGCAACAAACTAAATTAAACAATATCATACCTTTTATCAGGAAAATAAACATTTGCCTATCTATTTGGAAAGTAATTCATTGTAATAACACAATCTCTTTGATCTATCAAAACTAATTCTTTTATGTAATCTTTCCATTCGACAATTGTGAACTTATAAGCTGTGGCTTGCAGCAAGTAACCCAAGATTTGACCTTTTTCGTTTATGACTCAACTCCTTCATCTTTTTTGTTTGAAGTTCTCGACTAGATGGAGAACATACATAGAACATAATGCATTTGGAAATAATTCTTCGATCGTTACTTTAATACCCTTGTCGACATCTGAAATTATTACTAATTGGTGTGGAGGACCTATCATATAGTATATACCATACTCCATGTAAGAACCACTTCTAATTTTCTTTGTTC